CAGCAAGGTTATTCGAGTGTGTGTGTGCGGGATGCGGGCTTATATAGGGGCCGCTGGGCTCGCGACTTTCCGATATTCCCGGCTAGATAGTCTAGTTTAATCATTTTTTCGACGAATTTTTCAGTGTTGAGCAAATGTTCTTCTTTTGGATGGCTGTGTGCGCATTTACTGCACCGATTCTGCAACCGAGCAGCATTTCGATATCGTGCTTGCGTACAACCCTCTCAACACCAACTAAGCGTTGACAGCCGTACAATTCGATTTTTGCAAGGTTTTCAGGATTTTTTTATTTTGTGTCTGTTAAAGGCAGATCCCCTTTTTCGGAGCACTCGTGCTTCCTTGACCTGGAAATTGACTTGGCCCCTAGTATGCGTCTGTTGCACCTAGTATGCAACGGTGTCATAATGTCTATTTTGCGCTTCAGTGTGTAGGGTGCACGGCTACACAAAATTAATTAACTTAAGTTTATTCACGCTTACGAAGTGATATAAAATACGACAACTGCTCCTTTTGACGGTTTCCGAGTGTCGGGGGACAATCAAGCTGGGGAGCAATGTGGGTAGAAAGAAAAGAAGAAAGATTGGGCGTGATTGGCCCTGTGGTCGTGCCCGGACTTTTGTGCGAATCTCGCGTAGGTGCTGTTGCACCTGATCTGAACGCCGGTGCTCTGCTGCTGTGTGCTCACCTAGATGGTGTAGTGTGCACGGCTACATATAAACTTAATAGTCAGGTGGGTAAGTGATGTTGTTGAAGCATATGGGCAAGTAGAATAAAATGTGGTTGTAGGCGTTGTAGGCCTTTTTATGGCCCCGGGGTGCCAGGCGCCGCCAGCTTGCGTCAACCGCGTCACGACAGGCTTCCTCTTTTTAAGGTGATCTCTTCTAACAGATTTCTATATTTCTTAGGGGGTGACTTTTTCGAAAACGCTGTTCCGACATTAAGGTCTTGTATATTTTGCAAGGCCTTTTAAATTTGCAAGGGGTTTATATCTGTTAATTGCTCTTCAGCCCTTTTCCACACACGCTGTTTCCCCAGCGCTTGTGCGGTTTGTCTAGCTTGCGGTATTTTCTTGCGGAATAGGCTGCATAGTTTGGCTTGTATGTTTTCAATTTTTATGCTTTGTTTTGTTTTCCAAGTATTTAGAACCTTGGGCAGATTAGCTTGCTGTGACTGGCAAGGCAGAAGTCTCAAATGCCCTTGAGTTTACAGAGTGTGGCGGGATTATTGTTACGCTCACCGCTCGATCTCGTTCGTGGTAACATAATCGCACGTAGGTTAAAGTTGTCAGTTTTTGATACGTGTGTTTGCGTTGGGGCATGTGCGCGTGTTGCCATAAAAGCAGCACTAGCGGTGTCCGTTTGGGTAGTGTCGAGGTGTCGGGTAGCGTTTGGTAGCGTCGCTAGGTCGGGTAGCCCCTCTTTATTTCGCGGTCCGACATTTTCCACAAATAATTTGACGCCTCTTTTCATGTGCTAATGGCATGTTGCGTTATTTGCTGGATTCCAGGGCGCTAGTTATCCAAGCCGATTTAACGGTGTTGTATTTGCATTAAGGCTGAAGTCGTGCTCATAAATCTGCTGCACTGAATGTCCAAATGGTGTGAGCTCCCGCAGAGTCGACACCATCTGCTCGATTTGTGTAGTTGTCTCAATCAAAATTTAATCCTTAATCATTTTTTTGCGCTTCAAGCATTTTTTCCTATTTCGGTAATTTGCTAGCGGTTTGGAAATCTCACGCAATTCTTGGGCGATTTTCGGCACAGGTTGTATCGGCGGTAATAACTTGAATGCTCCAGCATTTCTGACTTTGTTTACGGAAAATTATTTTTGATCGTATTGATTGCTTCGCATCTTGATCTAATATGTTTAATAAATAATTTTCGGTCTTTAATCACACTTTTTGACTTGATAAATAAAAATTTTTGACTTTTGTATATTTAGTTCCGGCAGTTCCGGCTCGATAAGTTATGCTGCCATCATTTAATCATTTTTGCTTAGATGATGTGATTTTAGTGTTGAGTTTGTAGCACTTAGTGCTGGCACAAATCTAGTCCGGTTAGCTTCTTGTCTTTGGGTATGAAAATGACTAGGCTGACGCCCCGACCGATGCACCAATTTGTGGGCGAGTCGAGCTTATAATTTCTTTTGGCTGGCATGATTTTGTTTGGGGTTTTGGATAACAGGAAGACTAAAAAAGGATAATTTTAGCCCTATGCAATGCTGTATTGCCTTTTAGCTGTATGGGTAAACAACACAGTCTCAACCTGATATATTCGTCCGATTCTACAGGCTAAGTGATCGGTTTTTGGCTATTCACCTTATTTTGAGCTGTTTGCTGGCCATTCTGGCCATTCAAATTAACGTTTGAATTTAAATTGCTACTCTCTGAGGTAAATCTGTTCAGGGTTATGGCTGAAGGGTAATTTAGTTAATTAAAGGTTACTGCCATGTTAAAAAATTTGGAATTTAGCTAAAATTTGGCTCCATCAAAGGTGCAATAAAGGAAGAAAGAGAGAAATATTTTAGTGTTTAGTGCGGAAAAAATTTCAACTCGCATTGCAGTCGGGCGTGAGTTGCAGTTGGCTTGTTGCACCATGCACATTGTCAAGCGGGAGAGGTTCATAGCTGAAAGTTTGACCATAATGTTTCACAAACACCGACAAAGCTAGGTTTCATCATGGCCTAGGCTAAGCCTAAGCTAAGCCTAACCTCGCTAAGCCTAATCTAAGCCTAAGCTAAACATAAGCTAACAAGGAGTGCTTTTTTGCATCATCGCCAAAACCTTACGAGACCTAGCTCATTCGATAGAGAATTCAATTCTGAACAAAACCCGTTGTTCTTTTTTGCAGAATGGCTATCCCTGATTTTATAAAATTAAAATACTAGTGACCGTCCCTTACCATGCGTGCCTTTCGAGCCAAAAGAGAGCCTTTTGGGTGCAGTTTTACAATTTTATAAATTCAGGGATAGCCATTCTGCAAAAAAAAACAACGGGGTTTTGTTCAGAATCAAGTCCTTATCAGAGTTGAACTAAGTTCTCGTAATTTGCCAGATGATCAAAAAATTACTCCTTTAGGCCTAAGCTGAGCCTAAGCTAAACTGAAGTTAGCCTAAACCAAGACCAGGCAAAGCCTAAGCTAAGCCTAAGCTAAGCCTAAGCTAAACATCAGCTAAACCTAACCTAAGCCAGGCCACGCCCAAGCCTAAGCTGAATATGGCGGAAATCCACCATCAGCCCCAAAATCACCTTCAATTGGTACGATGTCCGAACCCCCAAAATACTCACAAAACTTTTTAGCGTTGTCGGATCAATGCGTGGTCCTAGAAATATCTCCTTTGGATTCCGAGGAGCATTGAGAGGTTCCCGAAAGACAAAGCTGCATCTGAAATCGAAGTTTGAAGACTGGGGCGGTTGATTTTATGTTTAGCCCTGAAAAATAAGTAACTAACCATTCTGCGGTGTGGCCGGAAGGAAGATAGTCGTCTTGGCTTCTAGGGCCTATTCAGGGGCTATTCACGCACGGCTGGCAGCTTATGTCGGCATGCTGTAGCGTGTGTACACTATGTCGACATGAACCCGAATCACCGTATGAGTCCTGAAAGAAATTATTATGCTGATTTTGAGTCGTTTTTGCTACTTTTTTCCTGCTTATCAAAAAGCTTAATTGCCCCCAGGCAGGGAAGGCTCTATTTTTTGGGGATTTTCATTTACTAAAAATCCACAAAATAACGGTGAAATTCCATTAAAAAGATCTTGCCAAAAACTCACTTGATTTACAATTTTTTTCCAGAAGATTTTCAGATATCCGTTTCTTCTCGATACATAAGTAGAATCGATTTTGGTGTGCAAATTTCGACGAATCTGCCGTATGATTTGGAGAAATTATCCAAGGTGAAGCGAAGTGCTGAAAAAGTAAAAAGTAATGGATGTTTGAAATCGAAAAAACGGCAAGAAATATAGTCACAAACTATGTAATTATTTTGGCAAGGTAAGACGGTACCAGAATTAGCACTTTTGCCTTCGTTCCTAAAACAGCGAAGGCAATTTCCCGAGCTGTTATTACTTGAACTAAAAAAAAATCGTATTACCTTGGCATGTTCAAAAAAAAGCATTTCAGGGCCGCAAATTTATCTTTTGGCCGATGAGAAGCTATGGTGTCAAAGCTGAATTAGAAAAAATGACACTCAATTTTTGCAAGCCAGATTAAGCGAATATGACTCATGAAATCCGTGGAAAAGTTGCTCAAAACCTAATTCAAGTTAAAAATTAAACCAAAAATAAAATAAAATTACTTCACTTGATATTAAATCAATTAATTCAAAATGAAATCACTGCACCAAAATAAATTCATTAATTTAAATCAAAATTAACTAAATTAAAAATCAAAATTTATTAAAATTCCGGCAATTCGGGTAAGAAAAAGGACCAATGTAATTAAGTATAAGCAAAAATAGGAACTGGTCAAAAAATCGCGCCCGCACCAAAAAATGTGAATACGGTTGGAGGGCCCGAGAGGGCGGGGGCGCTTCTGGCGGCGCAAGCTGTAACAACTATGCGCAACACCGGGCTGACCCAGATCGGGGGCCCAACAGGCGGCGCGCGCCTTGTCCCATAATTTATTGGCATCCCGACTCGGGCCGACTGTTTACAGTTGACACCTCCCCCTAACAAGATTTGCAAACACGGAAAAGATCAAGGGCCAAGTATATTAAAAAAAAGCCAAAAGCTAATAATCGTAATTATCGCATTAATGTCGAAAAAGGGTTTTTTAGTAAATTTTTGTAGATTAAAAACCATTTTAAATAGGTCTTTGTACTTTGAAACGACTAAAACGTTGACAAATTTTTTTAAGTTTTAAGAAAAATTCCGTCCTTTTTCCCCAGTCCTTTTGTATGCTGATTTAATACAGTGCTTGAATCCGAATAATATATGCAAATTTATCTACATCATAAAGCACCAATTGCTCTACAATCCCTGAGCATAATTTGGCGATCGGCTTAACGGCCGAGGTTTAGTCCGAGGCCGGTGTTGAGGCCAACACCAGGCTGGACTCCGACACCACCTCCGTATCCGCCTCCGAGCAGCTGACGGCGCTCACGAATCTGGGCGGGCTTCTGGTGCTCGGTGTCACGTCCGACACGGGTGTTCAAGCCGGCTTGGACTTGGCGAGTTTCTGAAAATCAAATGTTTAGCGGGGTTTCTAGAGTAAAGGACAGAGAAAAAGAGAGAGAGAGAGAGAGAGAGAGAGAGAGAGAGAGCTCCTCCGAGATTTGACTTACCGATCTTATGCTCCTCGTTGTGCATGGTCTTCTCAACGTCACGTCCGACACGGGTGTTCAGATCGGCTTGGACTTGGCGGGTCTCTGAAACGCGGTGTTTAGTTGTGGTTCGCTTGCGTTGATGCTCAAGGGTAGTTGGATTTTTCCTGATAACCCACCGATCTTGTGCTGCTCATGCATCTGCTTCTCGACATCACGTCCGACACGTCCACCAGCTCCAGCGGACACCTGACGGGCGGGGCGCTCAACCTTCTCGGCGTGCATCGTCTTCTCGACGTCGCGTCCGACACGGGTGTTCAGATCGGCTTGGACTTGGCGGGTCTCTGAAACGCGGTGTTTAGTTGTGGTTCGCTTGCGTTGATGTTTAGGGGTAGTTGGATTTTCCTGATAACCTACCGATCTTGTGCTGCTCGTGCATCTGCTTCTCGACGTCGCGTCCAACACGTCCTCCAGCTCCAGCGGAAACCTGACGAGCGGGGCGCTCAACCTTCGTCTCAGCATGCATCTGCTTCTCAACGTCACGTCCGACACGTCCTCCAGCTCCAGCGGACACCTGACGGGCGGGGCGCTCAACCTTCTCGGCGTGCATCGTCTTCTCGACGTCACGGCCAACACGGGCGTTCAGTCCAGCGTTGATCTGACGGGTTTCTGAAAAGTGTTGTTTAGCGGGGTTATTTTTGCGTTGAAGCTTAGGGTAGTTGAATTCTTACTGGTAACCTACCGATCTTGTGTTGTTCGTTCATCTGCTTCTCGACGTCACGTCCAACGCGTCCACCGGCTCCGGCGGAGACTTGACGGGCGGGGCGCTCAACCTTCTCGGAGTGCATCGTCTTCTCGACGTCACGGCCGACACGAGTGTTCAGGCCGGCTTGGACTTGGCGGGTTTCTGAAACGCGGTGTTTAGTTGTGGCTCGCTTGCGTTGATGTTTAGGGGTAGTTGGATTTTTCCTGATTTTGCTTTTCTCGTATTCAAGGGTACAAGAAAACGAACTCGTTAAATTCAAAGCAGTCAACTTACCAATCTTGTGCTGCTCGTGCATCTGCTTCTCGACATCACGTCCGACACGTCCTCCGGCTCCGGCAGAGACTTGGCGGGCTGGTCGCTCAACTTTCTCGGCGTGCATCGTCTTCTCGACGTCGCGTCCGACACGGGTGTTCAGACCGGCTTGGACTTGGCGGGTTTCTGAAAGGCATTGTTTAATTTCGCAAATCTCGGAGCAGCTAAAATCCCACTGCTATCTATAACTCACCGATCTTGTGCTCCTGGTGCATCTGCTTCTCGACGTCACGTCCAACGCGTCCACCTGCTCCAGCGGACACCTGACGGGCAGGGCGCTCAACCTTCGTCTCAGCATGCATCTGCTTCTCAACATCACGGCCAACTCGGCCGCCGACTCCAGCGTTCACTTGGCGAGTTTCTAAAAAGGTGAATGTCGTGGTGCGTCTCAAGATATTCGGATGCAGTAGCGAAATTATCGTAGCGTACTTAAAATTTTCTAATACTCACCAATCTTGTGCTGCTCCTCGTGCATCTGCTTCTCAACATCGCGACCAACTCGGCCGCTAGCTCCAACGTTTACTTGGCGGGACTCTGAAAGGAGTTGGTTTGTGAGAGCGAGAAAAAGAGAGAGACAGAGAGAGAGCGAGAGGGATAATTCGAGCGATAGAGAGACAGAGAGGCAGAGAGTGCGACAGAGAGAGAATGATCACCTACCAATTTTGTGCTCCTGGTGCAACTGCTTCTCCACATCTCTTCCGACGCGAGTGTTGAGGCCGACGCCAACTAAAATGAAAAATTATATTTGTAAAAATATATTAAGTTTTTGGCTAAATCCAAGTCTTTCAGTCTAGGTTTGAATTCGAAGCCTAAGCTTGAAGCTAAGCTAGGCCTAAGCCTAGGCTCAAGCCTACGCATAAGTCAAAGCCAAATAACTACAGAAACCCCAAAAAACTCGCAGAAATCCAAAGCTACCGTACCCTGGGCGTAGGCCGAGGAGGCGACTAGTAGAGCGATGAGAGCGACTTTCATGTTTGAGTCTGACCCCAACACCGCACCCCCGGCTTTTATACCAAGGATGTGTTTTCGATATCCAAATCTTCAAGGTTGGCCAAGGCTCGCCAACGCCCCCCGCGGACTTGTTTTTTTCCCTCGCCAAACTGTTATGGTCAACCACCCTATTTTGTTGGTGCGCTGGTCAGCAAAGGGGGGCGCGGATACAAGGAGTTCCCCCCTGTACCCCAGCGTCTCCCTCTCGCTCTCTTTCTCTCTCTCTCTCTCACGCTCTCTCTCTCTCTCCTCTCTTCACCCGATCAAGGTTTATTTTGTTCGGGGAAGGGCCCGGCAGGTTCGATCTTCCCGGTTGTGGGGGAAGGGGGGGAAGGGGGATGAGGACGATAACACCCGGCTGTCTGTTTTGGACTGTTGATGTGAGCCTTTTTGGCCTCTTGCTCCTTTCTCTCTCTCTCTCTCTCTCTCTCTCTCTCTCTCTCTCTCTCTCTCTTGTTCTCTCCGGCCTCTCCTTTACCGGGAAACAACGCTACCGGATGGAAGTGCTACTTGAATCGGATGAATGTGAATTTTAGCCGAGGGGCTAGAGAGTAAGAGACAGCTAGTGAGATATAGAGCTTGAGAGAGAGCGTGAGGGAGAGAGAGCGAGCAGGAGAGAAAGAGGGAAAGAAAGATCTATAAAGAAAGAGCGAGCGAGCGAAATACATGGTGTGAGGCAGGGAACAACATGCGGTGGTTAACGAACTGAAACATACTGTGTAAACTTGAGTTTTCGATGCTGCAAAATTAAATACCCTTCTAAAACAAAAACTTTTACGATAGTTACCATCTAGAAGACCATATTGTGGAACGGAGAGCATAAAAATTTGGAATAAAAATCTCGGTCTACCGTAACCCTTGTCCACTGCTCGGCCCGATTTTGAATTTCAATCAGCACAATGGGATGCCTACAGTTATACGATGTGCATTTAACGCAGCAGTAAAAATCGTAATTCTAGATCGATAGATTTCTTTTCTGATCAATATCTTTGCAGATAGAATCTACTTCAGAAGAAAAATGTACTGCCTATCTCTAGGCTGACATTACTTTTTTTTGTGTATCTGACTTCACCTTCTCTAATTTTCTCATTCTCGCTCTCTCTAGGTATCCGTGCATTTGTGTGTCTGTGGTTCCACCTTACTTTCTTGCTCTATAGCGCGGGTTCTCTCTACATATCTCTCTCTCTCGCTCTCCCTCTCACTCTCCCCCCCTCTCTCTCTCTCTCTCTCGTTCTCTATATCTCTTTATCTTTTTTTCGACCCGGACATCTTTCCTCGAAACGGGAAAGTGCGCATTGGACTACGGTGAAATTCACCACCCCCCCAGCTGGTAAGCAAAACAACAACGTTTCCCGGGGGGACAAGGTCACCGCCCCACCCTAGACCGGACTGGACTAGATGTCTGCTTTTCTGGGTCGACGAAAGATCGCGTCATTTGGCATTCAGCGGATTCGTCTTTGGGAGATCGTGAGTCCGAGTTCAGGTGCCGTTTGGCGAAGTGATACCTTGGCCACTTTCTACCGTAACACTCCAAGGAATTTCAATTATTTGGCTCGGCCCTTTGTTGATTAGTGATCAAAATGTTGGTGTTGTGGAGGCGTATGCTTTTATTAAAATGTAATGTATTAAAATCAGAAGAGATACCGCGCTTCTAAAGGATTTTTATTTGTCTTATTTACATCTTTATATGCCGGGCAGGTCTTTCTGCTGGGGAGCCGCGCGTCCGACACGGTGTTCAGATTGGCACCGACTTGACGGCGGTTTCCTGGAATCAGCAATTTTACCACGGTGCTATCGAAATTAATTCGAAGCTTAAGTTTCTAGGTTGTAAGTTAAGTAAATTTGAGTTTGAGTAAAGTTTTTGAAAAACGTCCGTCCTTTCTAACCACCTTCTCCTCGGAATTTTGATGAATTTTTTTAATTAAGAATGTTAATATGCAAAAAAATTTCCGTCAACGCCTTGCGCTCTGATCCTGTGCCAGTTTAACGAATTTTAGGCGCCAAAATACCGCAAAGCGGCCGGAAATTAGCCATTTAGTATTTGATTTTCCTAACTTTATTAATTTTACGTAAGAAATTCGACTAATATAATTTTTACTGTCATGCAACCCCATTATATTACTACTTTCTGCCAAATATAAAAGACTACTCACCGTGTGCTTGTGCTCATCGCCGCCCATCTGGTCCTTCCGAACTTGGCGGGTTTCTGAAATAAGAGTGTGTGTGATAGAGAAAGAGATAGAGCGAGCGAGAGAGCGAGAGAGAAAGGGGGGAGTTGAGCGAGAAACATATCCCGCGCTCTCGCGGTCACGCTCTCTCTCTGTCTCAGGCTCTCTCTCCCGCTCTATCTCTAGCTTCCACTTTTCTACTCCTTCACACACAGTCTCGGTCTTTCGCTTTTGTTTTCTGTTTGGAAAAGCCGGGACTTTACAGATTTGAAAGACTTTATTTCCATAATAAATACACGTATTCTCATTATTACTGCTTCTTGACGGCGGCCATTGGAGTCGGGTTGACGTAGAGAGGAGCTAAAATATCATATTGGTTGAGTTATAATTAGCTCTTAAAGCTCGTCTAGCTAGAACTTACTAGCAGTTCCGGAGTAGTGGATCGTGAAGGGCTGGATGTTGTTGTCACCGCTGTTGTACCAGGTGACCATAATCTAAAGTAATGGTATGTAAATTGTAAATTGCCGGTTCTCTTCGGTGTTTTCTCTCTCGCTCTCTCTCTCGCTCTCTCTCTCTCTCTTACCTGTGGCGAGCTCGCGCTCAGCGTCAAGGTGTAGGTCCTCGGGTTGAAGTTGCCCTCTTGCCACAGCGGCTTGGTGCGGTCGAAGCCGTCGAAGACGTTCAGGTTGAAGTCGTTCTAAAGATTGATTTTTTTGACCGTAGTCTAGTCTACTACTTACCAATGCCCTAATGACGCTGATTTCAACGTTAGCATAGTTGTTGAAGGCGCTGATTTGGTACTGGCAGTTGAGCTGGTTGGAGAACTCGAACGGGTAGCCGGGGGAGGTGATCTGGGCTTGGAGGGGTTATTGGAATAAGAGAAAGGTATCGATTTGCCTATATTTAGTGATATTATCCTACCGTTCCGTTATTTCCAAAGAACGTCGTGTTTCCACATGTGGGCGGAGCTGGCTGGGTGGGCATCGGCAGGCCTTGAGGGCGCGCGCAAACGGCGCGGAAGTGGCTCTCGCAGGGCTGGAAATAAGAAAATTGATCGATGCTATTTAACTTTACCTAACTTGCTGGTTTCAGTATAATTAATATTAAGTTTTAAAGTTCTAAATATTACCACAGACAGCCACTGTCCAGCATAGTACATCTTCGAGGTGGAGAAGGCGTAGCAGACCGGGGCTGGGTCCTGGCGAGCTGAAGGGAGTTCGATATAAAAGTTAAAAGTGCTGTTCTCTCGCTCTCTCTCTCCATCTCTTCCTCTCTCTCTCTACTTACGAGCATAGTTGGCAAAGTCCAGCCTCGATCCATCGGTCCAGGTGGAGTTGATGCCGTCATTCTTCAGGCCGATCCACGCAGCGTTTCCGATACCATGCGATGCGATGAAATCCATCAGGAAGTAGGTCGTCTAGAAGACATCTTTAGGTAAGTTAATGCAGGAAAATTACCGCGTTGTCGTGAACCGAGGCCAGATGACCTCCATCTGATTGGCAAAGAGCCTCGGCCAACGCCATTGTGTAGGTCTGGTCGGTTTTGGTCTAAAAATGTGGAAAACTTAACCTTAAGCAATAATTTAATGTTGTAGATGTTTAAAACTCTAGGGCAAACGGTAACTTACCGTATAGCAGGTGCCGTTATAGGGGAACCAATTCGCCGGGCAGCCGCTCGGGCTCGGGGTGGTCATGAACTGGGCGCCAGCTGAAATAAGCGATTAGAAAAATAAATGTTTTTAGGCTTCTTATGAAAGTTACCAAAAAGTTTTAAGAAAATCTAATTAGCGTTCCAAGCTCCGAGCGCTTTCAGGCATTTTCTAAGCGCTGTCGGCCCACATAGAAAAATTCCATTGTTAACACTAAAAATTTTCAGAGGCGTGGATTAAATTAGTATATTTAAATTTACTAAAAAGTAAAACAATAGCAAAGCAGTAATAGTGGTGTAAGACTACTGGCAAACATAAGAAATCCAAAATCTCGCTAAAGACGAAGCCAATACCCGTTTTCAATTGATAACCGAATTGCCAAAAAAGCGATGCTCAAGCAACGGGAGCCTCAGAGTTCAAGCTCAAAAAGCAAGTCAGAACGGTAGCTTACCAATGGCGACCAAAACCGCAAGAGTAGCTGCTCGGAGAGCCATCTTTTTTAAGCTGGTAGCTGAAGGGTTGATACTCTTCTTTACAAACCTGACGCTTTTATACCCAAAATCCCGTCTTTATCGCCAAAATGAGATTATCCACGCTGACAAAATTATCTTCGCGCCTCCACTGCTTCTTCTTTGTCCTCCCAAAAAAGCTGGGTGTGGCCACAGGAAATGATGATTTTTGCGGGGGGAAGTATTGGAACGGGCCATTTTCTCCCCGAAAATCGGCCCAGGCAACGCCCAAACCACGGCTTATCACCAGCGGAAATCGCCGCGAGCCCCGAAATGGGTGTCCGATTTTTGGAAAGCTCTGGCGTCCAGATTAGGGCTTGGTGTGTTGGGGTTGGAGGTACTGTATTTTTTGTCCAGGTTTTTGTTAACAAATTTATATAGCTAATTGCTGAATTTTCAAAAAGCTTCGGGCTTAATCCGGATAGGGGATCGCTTCCTACGCTACAAATTTGCAAAAAAAAAACGCTTTAGCAAAGGCCACAAACATTTTTTGTACTGATTTTTGTAAAATAATCGTATCTTATAGGAAGATCGTACGGTTCCCCACCATTACTTCTAAAATCATTACTTTTAACTTCGTTACTTCTAAAAGCATTAATTCTAAAATCATTACTTCTAAAAGCCATTACGTCTAAAACCTGACTTCTACAATACTAAGCGTCGATTTGGGCATAAATGTGGCCAAATGAGCAGAAAAACTGAGAATCCGACGTATCCACTTTTAGAAGTAACGATTTTAGAAGTAATGATTTTCGCAGTAATGATCGTCCCGCTGATTTTCCGAGCCAGGGTTGACATGCTCTAACACTTCACCCTCCCTCTCTTCCTCCCCTTCGCCTACGACCATACCACGTTGAAAGCACGGCATCCCGTCCGATCTGCCAAGGTAAGCAACGTTGGGCTCGGTTAGTACTTGGTAGTGTTGGACAGCACCCCAAAGAGAGCACCCCGGGGTGCTTTTTTCCCACCCCGGGGTGCTTGTATTTTCACCCCGGGGTGCTCTAAAAAAGCCCCCCGGGGTGCTTTCAAAACCACCCCGGGGTGCCCCCAAAAAGCACCCCGGGGTGGAAATAAAAGCACCCCGGCCGAGAGAGGGGTGCTCTGGAAAGTACCCCGCCCCCCAGTGGGGTGCTCCAGAAAGCACCCCAGCCCCCTTCGGGGTGCTGCAAAAAGCACCCCGGGGTGCTTTCGGAAGCACCCCAGGGGTGCCTTTTGGGGTGCTCTGTGGGGTGCTGTCTGGGGTGCTTTTTGCCAATGACCGCAATATATCAACTAGGCTATTTTGATCGAATCAGGAGATGAACGTCATTTTCGAGCAGTTGGCAAAACTCGGCGCCAAACCGATTGCAACTCATTTGGGGGTCGTTTGGTAGCATTTCTTCAAGGTTGTTGAACACGGCGGACGATTTCGAGACGTGTTTTTCTAACCGCGCTAGCAGGCTGGGCAAAGCTGCTCGACAGCTACAACTCGTTCAGCAGATAGAACTTTTCGCGCTCTTTCGAATGGTGCCCTTCGCGATCCAGGATTCGCAGTGCAGATCGAGATATGATGGTTTTAGTGCGGTGACAACTTCGACAGGTACACCTTTCGGCACTAAAACGCTCCCCT